GACCAGAGCCTGGATCAGAGCCTGGATCAGAGCCTGGACCAGAGCCTGGACCAGAGCCTTAAAGGCTTGTTTTGCTTGATGTTGAAATGTCTGTTTCTGTGTCAGACATATTTCTCATATGTTCATGAGTTAATTACATGTTGGCTGTGGCAGTAACATGTAAGTGAAGACACAGGTCATGTGACTCTCTGGTTCCTCGTCTGCCTGGTTCAGGGTGAGGGTCTGAGCTTGGTATTCGTTGGTGTGATCCTCCTGAGGCTGTTGATCCTCCGTCTCCATCGTCAGGTTGTAGGACAGGTTTGAAAAAACCCCTCTGAAGGGCGAGGAGGGTAAACCTGACGGAGATGGGAGTGATTCTGGGGGTGAGACTGGAGGCAGGCTGTAGTAACTCGGCAGAGTTTGAGTGAGAACTAAATTCTGGTTGCTGACGTTACCTTTGACCTGCGCTCCTGGTTTGAACAGCAGCTGTGGAGCGTCCATGATGTCGACCTCACTGTAACACTGATCCACCTGAAGACGACATCTGTGGTCACCCTGACAAACAGATGTGTACAGACGGGATGAGATGAGTTTATTACATTTACTCTTCAGCATGATGTAAAATAACTGTGGCTCTGATCATCATAACACAACCACTCACCATTACTTCCATTATTTCTGTCCTCATAGTAACATGACTCATTCACATTGTACAGCAGCAGAAATTAAACACTGTGAAACGAGTGGCGTGTCCCTTTAAGACACATTGAGAACCTACCGTTAATTTGAGCCGCGTGTCCGTCAGCAGGGGTCTCGGGATGGGGGGGTACACCTTCTGTTTGATGCTGGTGGAGAAAACAACACTTGAAAATAAAACTCCACACTGATTCGTTCAGAGAATCATCAGAAACCTACCAGGCCCAGTGTCTGCAGCAGACGACAGTGACGAGCAACAGGAGACTGAAAACAGCGACCAGGGAAATGATGACAGTCGTGATCAACGTATCAGCTGTTGAGTTCAAAAACAAACTTTCATCACATTGGGCTCTTTATTTTACTGCCGACGATGGATCTGTAGTAAAAGTGAAAAGGAGACAATGTACTCTGTAAATCGACGGTTACACCGGACGATGTGGAGCCACATTCTCCGAGCGCAGTCCGAGCCTTCAATGTGAACTCGTACGAGCCGGCCGTCAGGTCGAGGGTCGTTAGGCTGGTGGACGTCGGGTCGTCTGAACCCAGAGGAAGAAAATAAAGTTAAGACTAAAGAGATAAATCAGAAAATCAGGATGTTCATAAAGGTTAGTAAATATGTATCACGACCACAGACTGAATAAAGATTAACGACATGGCCGCTCACAAAAGTGAAACCAAATGATCGCCCCCTGGTGGCTTCTTCCTGACATCTTGAATAAAACACTTTCTTCCAGTTGATATCGTTCAGACTTGTTGCTTCTACAGGAGAATATAAAACCATCTCTTAGCCTGCGGTGAGTCTACCTCGGATGGTTAAAATAAATTTGGCTTGTGTAACTGTTGACCTCTGTTGTGTTAAAGAAAGTGGACGTCACAGCACCTGTGCTCACTTGCCCGTTGTTCTTGTCTCCGTCAGAATAGTACATGACGTAGCCTTGGATGAAAGCTGTCTGCTCTGTCAGAGAAATCGGATCCCAGGACATCTCAACAATGGAACCCTTCTGTTTCAGTCTCCTAATTTTAAAGAGGTTGTCTGGTATCCCTGGCAACGCAAAAGATGTATGATGTCAACATGTAAAACACTGTGGAACAAAGATGCTGCAGAAAAGTTAAAGAGCGGTCTTACTTTCCTCGCTGACGTAGCCCTCTCTGGTTTCCAGCAGCAGCGGAGCTTCTCGGGTGCAGGCAGATATGGACAGCGAGTATCTCTGTCCACTGTGGAAGTTTTCTGGAGCAAAGGAAACAGTAAATATGTATTTTAACATAAAGAAATGCTGCATCACATGAGTGCAGCTGCTTTATGCTCAGATATTTATACGTACTTGAAAATATAGTGACGTTGGTTTGATGCACTCTGAGCCAATCCACCATCGAATGACCCGAGGTCGGACACCAGTCCACGATGTAGCCGCAGCTCGCTGCAGGACTGGAGGACCAGGACAGACTGAAGCCGCCACCGCTGCCGATGATCCGAGACGTTCTGGCCGTGTCTGAAATGAAGAGTTCCAGCCTCAGTGATGATTCGGACTTTGGGGTTTTAAACGTAAAGATTGTAACTCACTGTGAAGTCCTCCAGAGACGTGGGGGGTGATGATGGTGGATGGGGACGAGCTGCCGATTTCGTTCCGAGCTGTAACTTTGACAACGTACTGTTGGGTTGTGTCCAGACTGAGGGTGACGTTGTTGTGAGTCACTGTGGTTGTGTTGAGTTGGTTTGTCTCTCTGATCTTTGACCAGGTCACTGTGTAGTCCAACATGAGTCCGTGACTCTGGTTCTCCTGTGGAATCTGTGTGAACGTTAGAACTTTTAAATCCACATCTCTTTCTTAAACCAGGGGCTGTAGTCATGGTGATTCATCATTTGCTGATGCTGATCGATCGTGGTGGTGATGGTTTCGTTAAAATGAGAACATCTGCTGTTCAACATTAAAGTAGAAACACGATGTTTCTGTGAAAACACTGAAGCTCCTTCCTCATCGTTGTAAAGTGTCACATTACCACATTTGCATAATGCACGTCTAGCTACATGTCTGACACGCCCCCTGACACAACCTGTGTTTAAGATATAACTTTAAACGAAATGACCAACATGAGCTTGTCTCATTTGAATCCTGAGTCAGAAGATTCTTCTTTTCTTTCTAATTATTCATAAATTCATTAATACCAACTTGTAAAGTTTTTATAAAGAATTCCAGACAACTTACCTTCCAGATAATTAAAATCTCATTGTCCTTCACCTTCATCCACACATCAAGAGCGTCTGGAACTGTGGGACAAACAGAAAATCAGCGAGCAGACGACATGAACTTTCAAACAGAGTCAGGTGACGTTTCATCGAACAGTTAAAGTTTAACGTTCTTTTTTTTTGTAATTGATTTTTTATGGCATTCGGAATCAGACATTCATATCCATCACACACATCTTATGTGCATATACAGTATCTTACATCTGTTGTCTGCCCCAAATGCCAAAAGCTTTTTTATTTAGTATCTGAAGAATGAATAGAAAAACCAACAAAACGAAAAAAGGAAAAACCAACCTATGTAGGGAGTGATCCTTTCCGTACAACTCAGTCACTAGTCTGTGAAAATAAAATCAGGTCTATGGGGTGTGACATACTTGACCCAGTTTTCCCAGTGTGAAGCAAAATTCTCCAGTTTGTGATTAACAAATGCTGTTATCTTCTCCATTTTATAAATGTCCATTGTAATGTCCATCCATATATTTAAAGTTGGGCTCTCCTGTGATAACCATTTCCTGGTAATACTCTTTTACAGGCCGCCAACAAGATATTTATTAAATGTTTATCTCTTTTCGGCCATTCCTCAGGTATGTGTCCAAACAACATAGTCTTACTCTCGAGGGGTATTTCACATGTGAAGACCTCCTGTACGGCATTGTGTATCTCTCTCCATTAGTCCTTCATGACAGGACAGTCCCAGAAAACATGGTAGTGGTTTGCACTTTCCACAGTTCCTCCAACAGACAGGGGGGTTATTGTCACAGTGGGACTTCTGACAAGGCCTAATAAAATACCGAATCAGGTTTTCCAGCCAAGTTCCCTCCACTTCTGTGAGCTAGTACACCTCCAGTGATACCTCCATATTGGTGTCCATTCTTCCTCAGATTAAGTTATCCCTCCTTCCTTTTCCCATTTTTTTTTTAATATGAAGTTGAATGTGGTTTCAACTTCGATAGTCCCTCATACAAGCATGAAATAGTTCTATCAACAGTTTCTGAGTTATAGGCTTTTGTATTCAGTCAAACACGTGTTTGTCTTTGCATCAACGTAGTGCCGCAGCTGCAGATAGAAGTTTTTCTAATAAACATTTGAATTACTAACATGTGATCGCTGAACGATAAAGAAAACAGACTGAACCAGGTTCTTCAACACTGACCATCACCCTTGGTGTGGAAGTGGAATGTGGAGCTCCAGTCGCTCCAGTTGTAGGAATGTTGCGTTGTTCTACATCGAACCGTCACGTTATACGACCAGTTTGGAATCAGGTTCATCAAATCTGCAGAATCAAGACCAACTCCAGAGTTTTTTGTCTGTGAACACGACAGAGACGAGACAATCTCAGAAGGTTTTCACTTTAGAAACCTGAGCTCAGCCTCTGTTCTTTGTTCGCTCACCAGCTCATGAGTTCCAGCGTGACTGACGTTCACCTGACACGTGACGTTCAGATGTTTGTAGCGTTTAACCTTCCAGGTCCACTTCAGACTGACGTTTCTGTCATTCACAGTCGAAGCTGTCACTGACTCTGGAGCAAACATGTGAACTGAAACAAAACCTTCAAATCAGTTCAGTCCTCAAGTTTTTACCTGCGTCTGAAAAATGTGAATACAATTTAAATGAGATGTTTATCATTATTATCATAAATGTTCACTGTGTCTTTCCATCAATTCACCAGAGGTCATACTGACTCACATAAGAAACATCCGACCCACCTCTGTTCATCAGGTCTGCTGTGTCCCACAGTTCCACCGTCCCCAGCTCATTCCGAGCCGTTAACGTCCAGTTCCTCTCTCCAGCTGACACGTTCACTTTCTGTGAGCATTTCCCCTGACTACCAGGTTTACATGCACTGCAATACAGATCAATAGATTAAACATATACTACACAACATGTGATCCACAAGATTACACGTACACTATTAAACTGAATCACCGCAGAACACACGGATTCAAAATCTACATTTCTCTGAATTTAAACCACTGAAAACAACACTGAGCCAGAAGAGTAGATCTCTATCAGTCCATTAAATATGATTCTTATTTAATTCTCTGAGAGATTCAATAAAACTGTTGATGCTCTGTGTTGCATCAGCAGAAACTATTTGTAAAATGTCTTTTTAATAATTCATTTAACTATTTATGTTGAATTGCATTTTTCTTAGTGCTGCTTTAGTTTTACCGTTTTTATTAACGTGCTTATCTTTCTACACAAATCTTTTATTGACAGCAGCAACAAGCCTCAATCTCTTTGTACCTGAGTGTAACAATAAATTAAACCAAAAAGATTTTTCAGATAATAATAAAAATAATAATTCCTGGATCCACATGTTTTTCTGGATTCTCTCAAAAATCTCTCTGGAGTCATTTTCCCTCCCTCCTCCAAATGTCCTGGGAATCACGTCAGTAGTTTTCTGCTAATGAACAAACTAATGCTATAGAAACCTCGACCTGCAGAGCTCAGGACTCAGTCTGTGTTCACTTCACGTTTTCTGACACTTTACCTTCCAACAAGCTGATATTGTGTTGGTTTCAGCAGGTGTGTATTTCGTCCAACTGTCCAGTGACATTCGACTGATTCCAGATCTCTGGTTTTACACTGAAGGTCTTTATCACCAGGAGGGTCTGAGCTCAGAAAGAAGAAAGTTACAGACACAGTTTTTACTTTGCTCTGGTGAAAGGTGTTTTCAGGAACATGTTCAAGTCGTAGTAGAAAGTTCACATCACAAATGTTGTGTCAGGTTGTATGTTTGTATGTGGACACGTGTTTGACTCATGTAAAGCATCGTTGACATCATAGGTAACAGTTACTGTTAGCAACAGCTACACCTAACGTTTGAAAGTTTGCTGCTGAACATTGGAGATAAACTCTGGTTGTTAAGAACTGATCTCAGTTCAGCTTCACTCTTCAGCTGATGGAGACTCTCAGTCACTTGTTCTCTCAGGAGATGAACCCACTCAGCAGAGTGAGAGAACAGACGCTCAGGGAGCGAAGGAGGAAACGTTCTCCACCTTCACACATCAGACTCACTCTGATCAAGCTGCTGCTTCAAGGTAGAAAAGTTTCATCGTGTTGATTTGAGAACCTTTTCAAGAAGTTGTGCAGATTCCTGATGTTTCTCTGAGGTTCATTGATTGAAACAACATAAATCGTACTTACAGCCAATAAAAGCACAAGCTCCATTGTCTCGTTGCTCGTTTTGGATCATTGCTTCACAAATGATGTCCGTGCAGCTGGTGGTCGATATATGGTTCAGGACGACGGTCAGTAAATACGTCTGATTGTTGACCGGTCTGATGTTCACATCAGAGCTAGTATTATCCGACACTTTCATGTTGTGGTAGCTTCCTCCTGCCGGCAGAACACAGCAGAATGTGGCTCTGCTGCCGACTTCAAACACTCTGTCTCGTGGATAAACCTCTGGATTTTCGGAGTCGTGTTCCTTTCCTGTAAAAACACAAGAATCGCAATGAAAACCATTTCCGTGGAATACGTCATCGCAGAGAGTGAATATCTACGATCAGCAGAGTGTGGCCTTGACCTGGGAGGGTCCATTCTTGTGTCCTGGGGCTTGTGAAGTTCTTGAATCGAACACTGAGTCGGACCGAATGGGAAACGCACTCTAAGGCCACGTGTGACGTCCACCTCCAGAGGTGAGAGGATCCGATCTGATCGGGCGTCACGGTAACGAGATCCTGAAACATTTCACAGGTTCAAGGTTTGTTTGTTGGAAGGTGTTGTTGCATAGACTGTGAGTAAAGATGGACGACATGACAGCTCCTTAAACTGGAGCACCCCCTGGTGTCTGGATGCAGTAGAGGTCATAAAACCCACCTTCTCCATGCTTAGCAGATGGGATGAAATGTAATGATTGACAGCCTCGACGGACTCATGATTGGTCGATTGCGATCAGCTCTATCCCCTGATCACTGCCGCTCACACTCTGACTGTAAATTAAGTTGTGAAGTTTGGTTTCAATAGGCTCGTTATTTGATGATATAAAAAAACGTGCTGAAGCGTCATGCCATGCTTCAATACCGAGCCAACGCAAGATGGCCGCCCCCATACCTGAGACATTTTGGCTTCGTTCGGCGTCAGAGGGAGGAGGTGGGGACAAGTCGTCCATCTTTATTTACAGTGGATGGTTGGGTTTTGTAAAACTTAGAAACTGTGACATAAAAGAAATCAGCTTGTACATGATGAACTTGCTCGTCTCCGACAAGAACCAGCAGCTCATAGATGAGCTGATCATTCACAGCGGAGCATGATGGGTCGTCTTCCCACGTCGCCAGGATCATCTGGTTGGACGAGGTCAGCGTCAGATTCTGAGGTCCACAAAGCAAAACATCTGTGAGACAGATGGACAGTGTTACAGCTGCTGTACGTCACATGACAGCATTCCCAGTGGCTTTACTGGGATATTACAGGGCCTTTACTTTTACTTTATTCGCAAATATGACGACATTTAAACTCTGAATTTGTTCATTTGTCAACAGCAGAATCTCTCATGAAATATTTAAAACCGGTGTTTAGACATAAAACTAGTCTAATTATGTCTCTTATTTATTCTGAGTATTAAACATACCTGATTCCATGTGTCTGAGTGAAGAACTTGTTTATTATAAGTGAATCTTCATCACTCCAGATGTGACTGAATGATCTTGAAACCACAAGTTGACCCTTGATAATAAATTGTCTTTCAATTTAAAATAAAGTCACATTAAAGTTTTACCAGCTTCATATACTTACTTCTGTAATATTGTTGTTTCAAGTATTTCTACCTTTAAACTGTATTTATCTGAGTGACGTAGTTTTGCAGGAATCGTTTGTGGCCACAGAGAAAAATCGATGGAAATCTGAGATCAATGTTGACTTTGAGAAAGTTCTGAAGAAGCACTTAAGAACTACTGATTGTGTTAAGTGGCTGTTTGCATCATTAATGAGGATAAAAAGAAGATAATTATTCCAGATCTGAGGATTTTATCTTTGTGTGGACGATTATCTTCAGCTGTGGAATCATCTCAGTGTTCTGGAGGCAGACCCTAACCCCTAACCCTCTACGTCTGAGCTTCAAACCTTCCCTTGTGATAAAGTCATAGTTAGACCTGGGTCAGGTTTGTCTCTGACCTGCTCTTAGTCCTGATGATGAAGTTATCAAAGGTTATTGATGAAGTTGTTCAAGTTATAGATGAGATCGTTACTCACCCTGTCCTCCTGTGTTTCCACCCTGTGAACTGTGGCAGAACAACGAGAGCAGAATGAATGTGATGCCGATCATCCTCGTCACAGATTCAGTTTTCATCACAGTCGTGGAAATAAACTTCTGTTCTTCGGTCTTCTTTAAACAGCCACTTCCTGAGAGATAGTGAAAGTCCTGTTAGAGGGAATACGCTCTGTGGATCTCACCAAGTGTCATTTTCCTCTTTCCTGTTAAACCCTCCCCTTCCATAGAGGAAGCTCACATCCTGCCTGGTTGTGAAATCCATGTGTTTGTTAATAATGAGTCACAGCCACATTTCACTGGAAATGGTTTCACAAGAACCTCTTTAAAGGTACAGTGTGTAGAATTTAGTGATATCCAGTGTTTACATGTTGCAGCTGAACCCCCCCCCCCTCACCTCCCCCCCCCCTTCCAAACATGAAAAAGAACCTGCAGCAGCTTCAGTTGTCATAAAAACTCAAAAGGTTTAAGTTTGTCCAGTCTCGACATCTGGGGTAAAGAAAACTACAACTCAAACAATTTGGATGAAACGAACCAGAGAAAACATCGTCATGATTATTCTACGTTACGTTTCACCTGAATCTTACAACTGGACCTTCAACACGTCAGGAAACTCCTCGTTCACTCAAGAGAGAACGAGAGAGAAACATCAGGAATCTGTGCAACTTCTGGAAGATTTTATTAAATCAACACGAGGAAACTTTTCTACCTTGAAGCAGCAGCTTGATCAAAGTGAGTCTGATGAGTGAATGTGGAGAACGTTTCCTCCTTCGCTCCCTGAGTCTGTTCTCTCTCTCTGCTGAGTGGGTTCATCTCCTGAGAACAAGTGACTGAGAGTCTCCATCAGCTCCAGTGGAAGAGTGAAGCTGAACTGAGATCAGTTCTTAACAACCAGTTTATCTCCAATGTTCAGCAAGCAGAGGATCATGGGTAATATCCAACATTCAGAGCTCAACACATTCTACACATCCTGTTTTTACAGGAAAACACTTCATCAGACACAGAGACCAACAGAGTTAATTCCCACGTTTTTCATTTCCATATGTGTATTAAAAATAGTCAGAGACATCAAGTATATTAAAATGTAATAAAACTCAATCTTCCTCTTTATTTTTTTCCGTACGTCTGCTTCTTTAGAAACACGCCTGTAGATCAACAATCCTTTCCAAGTAGAGGATACACTCGCTGCTTTATTTGATCTTTAAACAGTTTGAACCTGAAGTGAGCCTGACTTTAGTAACCCCTGCTGGAAGTATAAAAACACGCAGCTTCAAACAGGGAATCTAATATTTCTAAAGTACTAATGTACAGAGATGATGGATTACTTATCTGTGTAATTAAACCTCTGGAAAAGGCTCATGGAAAACACTGAAACTGATTGGACTGATACAATGAGTTTGGTAATCTACGTAGCAGCTAAATGATGATTGTCATTCAGTTCTCCAGAGTTCATGACAACAGCCTGTGTTACCGACTTCTTTCACATCTAGTTTCCAGGTTTTATTCTGAAAGTTTTAATGCAAATCTGTAAAAGTCCAAAGAAAAGTGAATCAGTCAGTTTCTAAAGTGTGAAGAGATCCTGGATTAACAGAGTTTGTATTTATTGAATCAATCCCTGCATCTGTAATTTGTACCTTCTGACCTCTGTGGGGTCATTTACAATCAAGCGTCGTCTCAAAAACACATCAGAAGAATCAACACTGGCCAAGTTCACTGTGGCGATGCAGCAGTTTTAGACGTGTCGTCTGAGGCACAACCAATAAACCAATTATTCATGGTTAGAAACGTTCACAGTTTGGCTCTTGGAGTTTGTTCCAGCAGAGTCTTCATGTCTAACAGTGCGTCCTCCATCGCCTGAGCCAGACGAGCCGCGTTCGTTTGCTCGCAGGTGTTGAAAGATGACACAGCAAAGTTGATGTGATCGCTCATTGGGTTGTAGCAGACGCCGTATCCGTTGGGTACGACTGGACCGAAACACATGACGCAGTCAGTCTTAGACGGAACCTTGTGGAGACATGAGAATGGAACTGTTGGTTAGAAACTGTTGGAGTTACAGAGTTAAATTACATGTTTTCTAGCCACTGCTTAAAGACTGATGTTATAAAAACTTTTTGGCCCCAAGAAAACACTGATCTTATTTTTATTTTCAGTTTTTTAAAAGAACTAAAAAAAAACAAAAACCTAACAGAATCACTTTCCAACTTTTACTGAGCAACAGCGCCCCCTGCGGGTTTTCATGTGCAGAAAAAAACATAGGGAACTGAACTGAAATACTACTGAACGCTGGATATTACCCATGATCCTCTGCTTCCTGAACCAGAAGAGCTGCTGCAGTAACTGATAAATTATTCACAGCCACTGATCCATCGGATTAATGAAACTGCTGGTTTAAGGTGGGGGAGGCAGTAGCTCAGTCCATAGAGACTTGGCTCGGGAACCACAGGGTGGCCGGTGCCAGTTCACCTCCTGGCCACTGCCGAAGTGCCCTTGAACAAGGCACCGAACCCACCAATTGCTCCCTGGGCGCCTTCATGGCTGCCCACTGTTCCGTGTGTGGTCACTGTGTGGATCAAATTTCCCCATGTTTGCATGTTGCATGCTGTGTGTGGGACCATAAAGAGGAATCTTAATAAAGAGGAATCTTAATAAAGAGGAATCTTAATAAAGAGGAATCTTAATAAAGAGGAATCTTAATAAAGAGGAATCTTNATAAAGAGGAATCTTAATAAAGAGGAATCTTAATAAAGAGGAATCTTAATAAAGAGGAATCTTAATAAAGAGGAATCTTAATAAAGAGGAATCTTAATGAATCCATCTGTGGAGCTCATCTCTACTTCCAGCTCAAACCTGACTTGTAGACAGCTCGTAGTTTAATGCTTTAGCGTAGGCAGCGTCTCTGAAGACGTCAGGGATGGAGAGTTTCTCATCGACCGCCTGCATCTTCAGGCCCAGGAGGTGTCGGTCTATAGCCTGACCACTGATCGCCTGTTAGGAGAGAGAGAACTCGTGTCAGTCACTGGAGGTAAAAACATATTGTGTGTGTCACTGATCTGTACATTTGTTGACAGTAAGAAACAGACATCCTCAGACTTGTCCTCCACTCACCATGTTGGTGTACGACCTGTGAGCTTTTACAGCTTTCTCCATCAGATCCACTTTCTGTGTGTTCTGTGAAGAAACAGAAACTTTAACTATTATTATTATCTATTTAAAATGTGGATTTACATATAAATGTATCTTAACCCCAGACTGTGAATAATGACAGCTCCCAAAAAGTGAATCATCAACAGCAGGAGGTCTCTTTATTTACAGTCTCAGAGGAGCCCCTCCTTCATCAGACCTGTCTCCTGGGGTCATCAAAAGCTTTGACAAAGGCAGCCGAGGCGGTCGAGGCCGATCTGATCGTATCTGTACGTCCCAGTCGGAACATACGCAGGGAGGCACTTTCATATGTGGCACAGCAGCGCTGATGCACTCTGTCGAGACAGCGAACACTTTCATCTCAGCGAATCTGTAAAGTCTTCTCCTTTAAAAGAGTAAAGAGAGAGTTCCTCTCCACATGACAGTTCAACCTCTCACCTGTAGTAGGCGAGCTGCAGAGCGACCTGTATGAAGGCATCAGGACTCATCTTGTGGCTCTTTGGGACATTTTTACCAAAGTGACCAAAAACTACAACCCTCATATCGAGGTCTTCAGCCAGACTGTGACGAGAGAAACACTCAGACTGAATAACATGAAGTGTGAACATATACTGTATATAATTAGTTTAATGAGCATCACGATAAAAGCTGCTCTCACGTGTTCATGCTCTGCTTGGCCTCCTCGATGTCCTTCTTGACCTCAGGCGTGATGTTGAAGTGGAGTTTCTGTGGCATGGGCAGCGGCACCATGGGAGGCTGCACCACCTCCGTCTTCCTCCTGAAAAGAGGAAACATGAGATGGAATAAGAAACTACGTCGACATTGAGAGCAGGTAATAAAGTCGTAGCATTCTCATGCTAGAAGCAGAATGTTGGGAGTCTGACCTCTGACCAAATAAAGGCCTGCAGAGCCTAAATGATCTTTGACCTACTCACGTGTATTCGACAACATGGTCAATCAAGGCCACAATAGGCGGTCCTTCGGCTGGGGCGTGCTCGTAGTTTGCTCCACATGTTCCGTCTTCTCCGATAATGAACTGAAAGAAAAAAAAAGAACATCCTGAATAAGTTAAGTGACAGAATACACAGAATTTTCCAGCCTGACTGTCGTAAATCGTTGCCCTGACTTCGGAGGTAATCCCCCCCGACCACAGACATTGAGAATAGTTTATAGGAAAAGTCATTTCCTCCCTGATCATTCGCTGTTGTAGATCATAAAGAGGCAGTGATATTAAAATAAGACTGTTTATTTAAAAAACTCCATGCGAGGCTTTAACTAGGGAAAGTGTGTGTTTGTACAATGCCTTTGTGAGTCACCTGCAGTGTCTTGTCAAACCAGCGGTTGGCACTGTTCCCCTTGCTGCCTCCTCCGTGCAGCATCTGGACGGCTGCAGAGCTGCGGTACATCTCATCAGACACTTCAGGCATCGCTCCGTCCAGACACACAACCAAGATGCTTCTCTGGATCGTTGACACTGATTCTTTGTTGGTCTTATCTGAACATAACAAACACAAGCTGTGAGTGGGGGGGGGGGTGATCATAGGACACGAGGGAGACAGTTCAACAATTTGAGGAGAGACTTCGGCATCTATGGCAGAGGAACCTTTTCACAACCTCCTCCTCTGTCGCCATATTTGTTGTCATGAGAGAATCTCGACTGCCCTCTAGTGGATGTACTGCTTCACAATCATGCCAATGTAAAAGTCTGTGAGCACTGAGGACAAATCTCTTCTCATACATAGAGGCAGAATGAATGAGGCTCTACTGTAGCCCTGTGCTCTTCAGTATTCTGATAAAACACCTACGTCTTTTAGCTCAGTGTCGATCTGTCTCCGTCTTTAACTCACCCTTGATGAGGTTGATGTAGGCCTTGCCCCAGGAGTCACGATGTTGCGTGGTCAGGATGCCGACAGGCTCTTCGTCGGGCTGTAGTGAGGAGCTGCAGATTCTCTCCAGCTGAACGCAGATCTGATCAACTATCAGAGGAGTCCCGTCACTGTTGTACACGTCCAGAGCAAAGAACTGATTCCACACATAGAAGAGAAACGCTCAGGCTAGATTTTCCACACAACCGTAGCAACAATGTTCAGAGTTGTAAATAACTGGCTTCATGATATAGGCTCCTGATCCTGAGCTCAGCCACACACAAGTGGCCTGGAGCAGAGACCCTCACCTGAAGGTTGTGAACTACAGTAATATGTCGTGGGGGCGGCGAGCTCTTGGCGTGGTTCACCACCGAATCTCTCTTCAGACCAGGGACACGACAGGACGACAGAACCTCATAATACTGATTCATGCACAGCGGCCGTCCTCCCAGGTATTCCACAGGTAGCGTCTCACTGCAAGAGAAACATTACACACTGACTCGCAGCGTCGTGAGGATCCAGTGGAGGATCGTTATAGTTTTTCATAACTGCAGAGAAAGTGAAATTAACTTTGACATTAACTTTGACATTAACTTTGACATTAACTTTGACATTAACTGTACATTCTGTACACCTGAGCAACACCTTCATAAAGACACAACTGACTCATTTTGTGATATGAAAGCCAAGACATATTGACAGCAGAAACAAATGGAAGCTGTAGGATGATGAAGCTCATAAAATTGTAGAAAAAACACATTTTAAGCTCAGTACTCACTTGTCAATCATCGTCTTAAAGTCTAAAACACCTGCGATCAGTTTGGCAGCAAACCTAAACACAGAGAACGCGATTGTTTATGATAACATTTCTGAAATTTCAAAGCAGAACTCATCACGGCAAAGTGCAGCTGTAAAGTGAAAAGACATATTATATTACACTGATCATTGATTTATGATTTGGTAAAACCATTCATGTATACAGCTGTTTGAAATGGTTTGGGTGAAATTAACAATCAAAGTTTAATTCTCAATATCTTTGTCATTATTTGTTACATGTTCTGTGTGTCAGCACCTTATTTGTCCTTGTTTATCACTGAAGTTCATGCGAGGTAAGACCAGTCCGGGACTCGAATGCACCACCACAGGCAGCCGGTACTCGAGATACGCAAGCTGCACCCACCACTCCGACAACTACAACGACACAGAGACACCGTTCAGACCGGGTGTTTACATCCATCCTGAGAGATCGCATCACACGTGGAAAGTTCCAAGAGTGCCTGTCTGCAGACAAGATGGCGGACCGCCGTCCTCTGCGAGTGTATGCGCAATAGACATCTCTGCACTTGACAGGAAATCATGGGATCCTAGCTGTCGTTTTCTCACCTCTGGTATTTGCAAGATGCTGCGTGCTGTGTCCCTCGCTGTAATTGTAAAGCTCAGGTGGTGGAATAGATTAAATACAACATGAAACATAGAGTGTGGTCTTAACAATCAGTCAGATCTTTATCTAACTTACAATTATGAACAGAAAAAGTATCTGAACTAATATAAAATCAATGTCTTCTGATCACAGGATGAATGCAAATGCATTCGCCTGTGATCAGATCTCTCTGGAGACATTTTCAGTCTTAGTGAATGAAAGACAACTGGTATATTCCCACAACTCAGCATCATGATGATGAAGTAGAAATGTCCACAGCTGTGAGTGGAGCAGGTCTCACCCAGTTCTCAGTGTGGTGTGCTCTCTTCTCCAGGCCTCTCTGTAGTCTCTCTCCCACCCCTCCTGCTTTCTGAAACTCCTGCACCAGCTCTTTCGTGCGCTTCAGCTCATCCTCCTCCACGATGGGCTCCAGCGCAGCGAGGTAGCGTTCGCAGGTCTGCTGCAGCGGGGGGACAGGCAGGTGGGGCAGGCCCTGCTGGTGGGTGAGGTATCTGCCAGAGACCCGGGTCGCTGACACAGGCTTCACCAAGTGATTTGGTTTCATAAAGCTGCAGGGCTTCATCCCGGCCTTCACCTGAGAGACAGAAGATGAGTAGGACATTTGAGTTTGTACAGGAAGAGTGTGTCAAGTGTCAACTGAGACAAACAACACGTCCCTCTTTGCTGTTCTTTCAGAGTTCTGTCAAGAATTATGGCTTTAGGCTTCTTCTTCTTCTGGCACACTTCAGAAATGTCCAGGTACATTTCAGAAGAGTTTGTTTCTACAGACATCAGTAACAACAGATAATAATAATAATAATCTTTAACGTTATGTTTCTGTATCTGACCCATTACTAACATTCACTGTGTGTAAAGTTAAAAATCCAAATCAAGGTGAAGACCAGAGTCAACCCTCTTCTGTCTATATCTAATTTTAGCTAACCTCAGACTGATCTTTGACCCAGTTAGCTTAGCTTTAGCGTGTGAACCACTCCAGCTGGTTATCACTCAGTCAGCAGCTAGTTAGCTAGTTAGCTGGTGTCTCGTGTTAGCATCAGGTCAGTAATAGTGACCGGTGCAGTAGCTATCGAGGCTTTTCAGAGAAACGTAGATGTGAACCAGTGTTAGCGAGTTAGCAGAGCAGCTAACGGTGCGTTTACTTACCGCAAATCTGCTGCAGAAGCCCCACATTGTGTTGTCCGGGTACCGGCCTCACTGACTGAGCTGCAGCGGGACTGGAGGTCCTGAGACCAGGTTAATTCCAGGTGATCCACCGGTGTTTCCTCAGATCCACCAGAGACAGAGTCACAGCTGCTGAACGAGCTTCTTCCACTGTTGTTGATCCCAGACTGATCTGAGCGCTGCTGGTTTACTTCGACTCTTTAAACTCTGAGGTTCTACTTCTTAATCTGAGGTTTCACTTCTTAATCTGAGGTTTCACTTCTTAATCTGAGGTTTCACTTCTTAAACTAGTTTTTATTTGGAGGGGCAGACACATTCATTGTGACGCAATGACCTGCATTCCCTTCCTGGTTGGTTCTTACGTTAACATGTAAACACTTTCTGTCAGTAGCAACAATAATGATAATGATAATAATGATAATGGTGGGTGAGTTCTTTCATCTTCATATTGTCTTTCATATATAGAATAAATAATTAATTGTGGTATAAGTGTCTCCCTCCCTGCTTGTGAAGGTTTAACACACTCAGGTTTTACGTCTGCACATGTATATTTGACGGCTGCAGTGCATTTGTGTGACTCTTGTGTTTAAGTAACATTAATGAAGGATTTTAATTTTATTTCAACTGAGTGTAAACAAAGCGAGAAAACTTCTAGAGCTGTCGTTCCCTTTCCGTCCATTAGAGGCAGTGAAGAGCCGTGGCCGCTTTAACTCAGACCAGATGCCACGAAGAAGAGTGAGAAGCGGCACCATGGCGGAAACAGAGCAACAGAAAGGTGATGAAGTATAAACTGTGCTAACTTGTTAGCTTCTATATAGACTGAATATATACACTCTACTGTTAGCTTCTATATAGACTGAATATATACACTCTACTGTTAGCTTCTACATAGACTG